CACTGTAAACTGTAAGTATGTGAGTTACTGGAGGATGAATAACTTTTTGAGGCCAGTGGCAGTCTTGTAATTTTTGTGCTTTACAACTAACTTTGAATACAAAGGGACATAAATGCTTGCTTAATTTGGGAGAAAAAAAAAGTATTAGGAAAAAACCCTTTTAACCCATAAGTTAAACTGATGTTTTTCTTTGACAGTTTCTTTCTGTTAAATTGTAGCAGGGGCTTGTCATTTTCCCTGTTCCACATCTGACCTCATTTCATTGTGGAATACTACAGCCAGGCTTTGCCTATCACTTTCTGTTATGGTGGAGGGGAAGGGCCGTTTAGACTCAACTCCTCTCCCAGGGTTGCTGAGAAAACTGAATAAATTAACCCACATCAGGTGTTTTGAGCAGTCCTGATGAGTTCTTAGCCAAGCCATCCTGCCACCATTGAGAGTGTGCTTTGGTGGGGACACTAACCAGAAAGTGAGCTTGGCTCAAATCAAGAATCCCCCCTTTTTTCTGCCATGACAGAAACAGTGTAATGCCTCTGTATATGTGTCTCAATATGAAGTTGTATAGGGGTCCTTCTCCTTGTTTTTTTTTTTTTTTTTTGAACCATCGGGTTAATTATTTAGAAAAGTAGAAAGTTACAGCCACACTTCACAGGCCTGATGTCATGATTACATCTAAGTGATTCCAGATGGGATTTAAAAAAGAAAGAAAATGAATTATAAAGCCATGAATCCCACTTCTTAAAATTGAGAAGAATGTAGGCGAATATTTATCAGACGTAGGAAGAGCAGATTCCTTAAAACAGTGGTAGAAATCAAAAGCAACGTTACAGATTCCAACACACACGATTTAGGGTTTCTTTAAAATCAGTTCATCTTTAGGGGCGAACACCTTTGGGCAGAAGGTTCCTCGGCTTGCTGACATTTACGTGTGTATATGATTGTCATGATGAAGGACTGACTCAGCTTCATCAGTGAGCACTAACCAGGCAATGACAGAAGAAGTGAAAGAGGCGAAGAGCAATGACGTGAGATGTTCGATCCCACGGCCACTTTTAATAACAGTGATGTGGGACTTTACACTGGCCACATTACTGTAGGGTTTAAAGAAGCAATGAGCTGTTGTGGGAGGACAGGTAAATAAGCAGTTGCCAACAGGCCTTGTTATTAGCCCATCGGAGGAGTCCTAGGCGAGAAGAGCCTGGCTTCCAGCAAGCAGCATAACCTCATGAATCATTGGCGAAGCAGACAGCTGGACCAGGGATATGGAGTAGCTGTTTCAGATAACAAGCAGCTTTCTTTATAAGTCGCCCCTTCATGGTCAATGTCTTTTAGCAGAGCTGTGGCGTTAGATGATAAATTGGCAGGTTACTGTGAATTGTCACTACTGCAAGTATTAGATAAGCTCTGTCTCGCAGCTGCATCCCAATCTGATGTCACTTTCCTATTGTAATAAAACCCGTTGTTCCTTTCAAAGACACAGATTTCTAGCAGCTGTGGATAAGCTTTCCTGGAAACAAACCTGTCCATAAAAATGTTGAGCCTATTATAAATTACAAAAATATGAACTATAAGGAAAATACATTTCATGTGAAACTGTTCCCTTACCCCAAATTCCTTGATAGAGTTCCTCTCCCTCTGCTCCCAAAGCTGCCCTGCTGAGCAAGGCACAGGCTGCTGACTTATTAGGTGCCTTGTTACCAGCCCTCATCTGAGGGGAACCCCCGATTCCTTTCAGTTTAGGCTCATGTTAGTAAGAGAACCAAGAAAAATCCGAAGTCAAGAAGTCCTTAACCAACGGGACACTGACAGGCGTGGTTGGATTACTCATTTCCAACTGGAGGTGGGAAACCACAAGCTGTGGAGGGACAGATTCTAGGAAAATAACTCTGTGTGTGTGTGTGTGTGTGTGTGTGTGTGTGTTGGTTTAGGTTTAGGTATTTGGGTATGTGTAGGTTTGGTTTTGGGTTTTGCCTGAAAAAAGATTACAATAACAAAGTTAGATTTCACAGCTTGTTAACTGTTGATTCTGAGCTGAGAAATTTTCTGTTTCCTGTACATGAATATGTTAACAAGTGTGTGTAGGTATGTATATGTATATGAGTATATATACATAAAGTGACTATACATAATACATAATACATAATACATAAACCTTTATGATGTGGAGAAGTAAGTTTAAAAAAAATCCTAAGACTGGAGGGAAGGATGCTCTTAAAAAATTAAGTTTGGCAACAAAAACTCCATGCATTCCTAGAAAAGAATGTGAAAAAAGAATAGTTACAACATACTAATCCTTTCTATTGTGTTTCTTTAAAATGACTAGTCAATGGGGCATTTAAAATAATTGTTTGTTTATGAATTGTAGCACTGGAGATGGTGAACCCAAAGCCTCATGAAAGCCACATGCTATACTACACAGTGACATCCCAGCCCCTATTCGCATATTTAAATCTGGCTTTAATTTTCCTATTTTTTTCGTCTTTTATGAGAGCCCATTTAAAATTGATTAATGAGCCTCCAAATGTGCTTTTCTCCTTTTTGAAAGAGTCTGTGTTGTGGGACTCCACATGCTTACCCTAAAGGTCCAGTCAGATAGTGGGAGACACACATACAGTGTGGATCTGTAAGAGTCATACAGAAGTCTTTGCTGTGGTCAGAGGCAGTGAGTAGCCTGTCCTTCGCCACCCTGGGAGAGAGATGCTGCTGTTATCCATGTTTCAAGCCACAGAAAATGAGTCTTGCAGAAGATTCCTGGAACTGCAGCGATACACGGCTGGTATGGCAGGGCAATACTTCCAGTCTGTGTCCCTCACTTTGCAACTCCAGCCTTTACGGACCTCCTGCTCTCCGGAACTCTGGCTACCTGCTCTCTAGAACTCTGTGGCCACCTGACCACTTTTCTTCCTGTGTTCTATAAATGGAGTTCCTTGGGCAAGTCTGTTCCAGGACATGGCTTCTGAGAAGCTGGAGGTGGGGCTGAATTCCAGGGTAACAGTCACCAGCCTGTGTCCTTTGCTGTCCCATTAGCTCTAAGACCTGTGCTGTTCGGAGTCCTGTCAACTTCAGCTCTGATGTAAATTCCCCACCCACCCTGCTTTCTTGGTTGACATTTCCAAAGCGAAATACTGTGTGAGTGGGTTTGTAGTTTGTGCTGCTGTCTTTTAAAATGAAATCTGGTAAACTCTTAAGTACGTGTTTGTTCTATGTAAAGCCCTGCAGAGCAGATGCAGCCACCCATCCCGTGGAACGTGGCCCCTATCTTTTTTCACAGTCTTACTTTAGAAATGTGATTGCCTCATCCCTTCCTCTGCCCTCACTTTCCTGTTTGTAGTGGGAGGAAAAAAACCATTAATGAGCTGTAAAGACCCAACTAGGTAAGCAGTCTCTCAGAAGTCAGGGTTTTGTTACAATTTGCAGATCGGAATTCTCTCCTGTTTTAGCCACAGCACTTCATTTGTTTTGGATGCTCCTTGTACTCAAAATTTTAGTGGCTTCCATATCAGAAAGAACTGCTAAGGGATGGGATTGTGGGGAGTGCAATTAGAACTCCAAAATACCAGCATCCCACCTGCTGAAGCTGGGATGATCAATCACAAATCTTGTCATTGATGACAGAGTTGGGGGCACAGATAAGTAGATTCTACCAGCTTAGGCAGACATTCTGGTCTGAGCCACTGTGCTAACACTGAGGTACATGGTAAGCATCCGGGCTCACTGTGGCATGCTATTGGGAAGGTCCGGCTAGGGAACAAATGCTCGGAGGACCAGGTTCTGGCAATTCCTCAGTGTTATGGGAAAAGAGGAGCAGAGGGTCATGTACAGCTTTTCCCTTGAGCCCCTCACAGAACACTGGATGCTCTCCCATGTAGCTTTAGAATTCACACATTTGCCCCCATTGGGGCCAGGGTGGCATACTGCCCTCCACCTCACTTGTATTTCTCTCTTTCTATGAGATACCAGTGGATTTCAGGACTGGTCCATTCACTCCTCTCTGCCTCTGAGGGAGCTGTGCTGAGATTTCCTTGTATGAAGTCCTTTCTAAGTAACCTTTCCTCCAGAATAACCCAGGATCGCCTCAAAACCAAAGTTAGAGAGTCACAGAGTGACTTTTATTCATCCATTCATTCTTTGCTGATTTAACTTTGTCTTGTTAAGATGTGAGTTCACTGGCCATTGCAGAAATATTTGCTGATTTTCCTTTGATTGAACTGACTCCATAAGATGGCTCAGTTAGCTCCATATTTCCTCACTCACTGTTACTTTTCTCTTTTTGAGACATGGTTTCATGTAACCCAGGCTGGCCTCAAACTCACTGTGTAGCCAAGGATGACCCTGAATTTCTGGCCCTTCTCCTTCTACCTCCCAACTGCTGGAATTACACATATTACATATTTCGTGCAGTGCTGTGCTATGCTAGGCATCCAACCCAGAGCATCCTGCATGCCAGGCAAGTACTCAACCAGCTGAGGAAGGTTCCCAGTCCTGACTGCTGACTGTTACCTTAGTATTGCCTTTCTTTTTCCTTTTCCTTTCTGAAGCCCAAGGAAATAATCATTCACTTCCGATGAAGTCCCCAAAATCCATACGTACCTTGTTTCATTTTTGTACCTTGTAGTAAAACTCTAAAAGTATTCTACTCACCTAATTTATTATTTTTTATTTTTAATTTTTATTATATTTTGTTTCTTTCATGTGTGTGTGTGGCTATGTGTGGGTGTGCACGTGCCGTAGCCTGCCTGCAGAGGGCAGAGGACAGCTGAGGAGTCGGTTCGCTCGTTCTACTATGCTGGTTCTAGATGGAACTTGCCTCAGCAGGCACTGTCTCTCCAGCCCTCGATATTCTTTTTAAAGCAAATACAATTCTGTACAATTACAGATACTTGAGTTTTATTTTATATTGTGGAGCTGATATAGAAGGGGTTTAATATTTGACTTGAGGGATTTTAATTTTTAGTTTAAAAAGTTTCTAAAGGTGTATATCTATTTTTTTTTATTTGTAGCTGGTTTTCGAAGAAGTTTCCGTCTTAGCAGGAAAGATAAGAAAACAAACAAGTCTATGTATGAATGCAAAAAGAGTGACCAGTACGACACAGCAGACGTGCCCACGTATGAAGAAGTGATGCCGTATCGGCGGCAGGCTCATGAGAAATACAGGCTTGTTGTCCTGGTTGGTAAGTGTTTGTTTTGTTTGTAATCCTGAGCAAATAAGGAAAATATTAAGAACTTTGAAGTTTGTTATAGTTGAAGTTTTTAAGATAAAATTCCCTACATCTAGAATACCTTGCCTAGTCTCTGAAGGGAAGGGCTATGTTTCTATGTTGTTGTGCTTGTAGAGCCTCTGTTGAAGATGGGTTAGCACATGCACTGTAACACGAGATACATCAAGAGCACTGAATATTTATATATTTGTCAATGAATATTTGGAAGTTTGTTAATGAAAATCTGAATATTTGTTAATGATATTCTTTTCAATTCATTTTGTGGCAGTAGCCATTATATAAGCTTCCTAAAGCAGTTGTCCATCATAAAATGAGTTACAGTAGCAGAGTTCCAGGACAAGTTTGTGAGGGAAGTATGTGACTTAGGAGTCAGGCACCTGCCTAGGGTTGGGTTCAGTCCCCAGTACTATAAAATGTGAGATTCGGGCAGATCATTTCTACAGTGGTTGGTTTGACTCACATTAACGTTCTGGCCAGTATCTTGTCTAGCCTTCACGGACATGACCCCCCATGACCTTATGTTCCTCCGTCCCCTCCCTTACTTTGTTTCTTTTAAAATGTGGTGAAAGCTATGTCAGCTTCCAGGATTGAAGCCAATGGTTTTGCAAAATTTTGCGGGTAGAGGAGCATAGTGTCTCTTGTTAATTCTTACATTGTAAACTTAGGATGACAGTTTGGGGACTGAGAATAAATGGAAGAGTGAGGAATCAACCGTTTTAGTAAGGACAGATCCTTTGTAAGTTCATCTCATGTTCACTGAGACTGGCAATGGTTGATTTGAGGGAAGGGATATGGTTTTCTCATACTAAACAGCACTGGCATTGATCACTAACTTGGCAGATATTGAAATTATTTGCATTGTTCAGAAATACAAAATTACGGTATTTAAAGGGAATTCACATTTTCCATTATTAGTGAGGCCTACCTTTCTGTAACTCTGACCACACCTGAAAGGAGAGTTTCATGCATGTTACTGTCTCCCACAAGTGTTCTAACACTCCAGATTCCAGTCCACACAGGACCCAGATGTCCTGACTGAAAGGAGGCAACTTGAGACTTCTTAGCCTCCATCTTCTGGCCCCATTGTTCCTGCTGTCTCTCCTCCCTCCTGGTCTTAGTCATATCCCTCCATTCCCATTACCTCTCCTCCTCAGCTCCAGGAACCATGTGCCATGGTAAAAGGGCAAAACCAGTGTGGCACTGTCATTCATGGTTTTCCTTCCCTTCCAGGTGAGCCGTACTCTTGGGGTTATCGTGCTGTGGTAGCTTTAGTCTTTCCCTTGGGTACTAAAAGGAGAAAGAAGAAACTGCCATTTTTTTCTCCTCTAAGCACTGATCATAAGGCCTTCTCTGTAGGCCTGGGGGAGAGTAGATAGTTGAGTGTGTCATGAATCTGTGTGGTGAGTCAGAGGAGAATGAGGAAAGTCAAGGTGTAGGTAAAGGTCTTGAAGATGATTGATGGTTATAGATAAGAAATAGCAAACCCCTAGGCTTCTTCAGAGGGATAGGGAGTAGAGGGAGCTTGTACACGAGAAACTTGTACATCCATGACGGAGTACGCCATCTTAGACTTACCTTAGGAGAGGATGAACCAGCAGAAGGATGTCTTGTTAGCCTTCTGTCAGCAAAGCCACTACTTGAGATAGTTAGCTAATAGAGATAAAAGGTACGTTTGGCTCATAGTCTTCATCACCAAGATAGTGCCACAGTGGGAAACCTCACAGCTGCCCCAGGTAACAGATCATAGTCCTAGCACGGGCACCCCAAAACACTATGTAAAATGACCTTCTGCCATATGCTGCATCTGAACTATGAATTCATGAATTTCAAGTGATCATGTGGCTTTAGGCTTGTGTGAGAGAGTGTACCACAGCAAGAGCATGTGGAGGGGGGGAAATGCTCATCTCAGCAACAGAGAGTGAAACAGAGAAGAAAGGAGCCTCTGGGAGCACCCCTAACATTCTGCCTCAGTTTCCTCACTGAGACACAGAGGCGCTAAGAGCTTTGCTAGTCTAGTGAAGACTTGGACCTGCCCCTGAAAGCTGCTGCTACAGTCTGAGCAAAAGGCCATTGTTAAATATTATCTGAAATATTTTAAAATAAGCATGAAGTGTGTAGTCTTAGATTCCTGCTGATTTTGAGCCTCAGCATTTGAATGAGGTTAAGTTGGACTGTTTAGCAGCTGACTGTCGGAAAGAAGAAGCACTTGGGTAATGCTGGGCAATGGATGTATGCTTTGGAAATTCTACATTGTCCTGAATTAACTGTTTTCTTTCATGGTTGCATGCTGAAGACATATTTCCTTAATTTCTTTGACATTACAGGAGGAGGGGATGACAGCATTTCGGCTTCTTTTACACATGTTGTCAAAGCCATGGAGAGTAATGGCCTGAGCTGAGAGTGTTAGATGAATATCCCTGGGGAGAAACAGTGTTTTCTCTCAATAGTTTACAATGTAGTAATCTTAGACCCTGTGTTGAAGACATCAGAGTGAGCCAAGTTGGTGCCATTCAGAACTGTGGCATCTGAGACCTGTGAGACTTGATCAGCAATACTTGATTTTCTCTTTTTTGGGTACACATATTATTCCTGGGTCATAGTTTACTCAATGATACCTCACTGATATTTCTGTTAGATTCCTTTCACCTTTAAAAGTATTGCTTAAAAAGTGTTAGATTGTTTTTCCTTGTTGACATTTATAATCTTTAATTTTTGAGCAGACATGCAATCATAATACAATTGTAATAGATATTTTAATTGATCAGAAATTTAAAAATTGTCATTTGGGGAAAAAAAGTGTTAGACCGAATGCTGGGTCATTTAGCACATTGTCTTATACAATGTATCATCTTTCCATCTTTAGTAAAACCTGAACTTTTTCAAAAGTAAAGTAATAAAGCCAAATGATGTATGTGGGCTTGTGGGTGGAGCAGAGCTGCGGTGCTAAAAAGCCACAAAAGCCTTTTTTTGTGGCTTAAGCTAAAATGAGGGCAGAAATTCATCTTGTGGATATTCAGACAATCCATGACTTGTTCTGTCTGGTTATTCAGCAAAGGGAGGAAACTAACAATAAATCTCTGTATATTTCACATTTACAACGTGAGCAGTAAGTACTATTTGGTCCCCCTTTGGGCTGAATCATACATGTTGCCCGAAGACTGCTATGCAAAGGTGCTTTGACTAAATGGATATTTGCAAGAATGTCATCATTTTCCCACAGAAGGATGGCAATGGTACAGCTGCATGAAGCAGAGTAGAAAGCACACGTTCAGAACTGACCATGAATGCTAGAACCCCCACTGCTTTTGTTGGACTCTGGTTGAAACCTTGTAGGGTCTACTCTGGAGGAGCCCATACAGATACTCTAAAACCGAAAGTCACAATCAAATTTATGAGTGTGTGGTGGGCTTCAAATTATAATCCTATGTGGAGGAGACAAATACGATCTTTATTAGAATCACAGTTGGATTCTTATGCCTATAGTCTATCTTAAATATTTATACTTGGGATTCATTTCTGGCATAAGACACGGTTCTTTTCATTGAGCTGGCTTTTAGTAAGCAGGCGCCGTCTGAGCACCAACTTCTCTGGGTTACATACAACAGGAGCATTTGTCCTCAAGCCGTCTATATTCCAATGGGACAGGATGAACCAAAAAATCTATTCATAGTAACAGAAAGCTGACACTGATAGGTGTGGCCATTTGTGTAGCTACTAGAGGTGGTGAATGCTACATGCAGTGCTGGTCGAGGAAATTTTGAGTTTGGGACTGGAACAGAATGGATTTTGAATGAGAGCATGCTATCCCCAGTGAAAGGTCACCTTCAGAGGGGTTAGAAAGGAAGTAAGTCACTGTTACCAGTGACTGTGGTTGGATTTTGACCTTTCAGTTGTATTGTATTCTTGTCACGGCTGGCATGGAAGGGGGACAAGAACTTAGACTGTAGACTGACTTTCTTTTAGCAAACTTTCTCTTCTCTTCTCCTCCTCTGTCTTCATTTCCAGTTTGGGCATTTGTTTTACTGATTGTTGCCTCATTAAGAACACTTCTCTCATGAAAGTGACAGAAGAAATGGGCTCTGACTTGATTCGTCGTGAATGTAGCTGGACTTTGTAGAGTTTGATTTGTCATTCTCGAACCCAGAACTGCAGCCACCCACTGACATGATCATCCCATGGACACGAATCAAATGTAATAGCATGGCTGTTTTTATTTTATGCATAGAGCAATAAAAGCGCATTGCTACAATATGATAAGTAGACACTTTATAGCATGTGTCTGATCTGAGAGATACCTAGGGGGTTGGTTGGATTTATCTTGCAGTAAATCAAATGAATGAGTGTGGGGTTTGTTTTTTTTCAGGTAACAATGCAGTTTGGGTCCCCATGGCAGACTCCAATAATTCTGCTATTTTTTTCTCTGGATAATAAAGAGTAACAAGTCTGGCCAAGTACGATAAAAAATGTCTGTAGGGAAATGCAGAAGAATTTTTGTGTGAAGCAGTGTAAGTACTCTGGGGTTGAATACATAATAGAAGCCACATCCAGGCCAGTAACTCTTTGTGTAATAGACTGTTTTTGGCTTGTGCCAAGATGAACAAAGAGCAGGAGAAAACATAAATAGTACTTGGTCAGAGCAACACATGTCCTTCCAATATTCCATTTAATATTGGACATAAATCCAAATATTAAAAAGAAGTTTGTATAAACAAGAAGGATTTTGTCACTAATGTATTACTGCGGTGGTTACATGGTGTAGTTTGTCCATCCCTGTTGACTTATCTTTATTTAGTTACTTTGCTAATAGATTATTAGTATGATAAGTCTTTCATCTCTAAGGCACTACCTATATTTAAATTATTAAATTGAATTTGATACTCATCAGCCTTAAGGAACACTATACACAGCGGCTTGGGGTTGCTCAGTGAACAAAGCACTTACTGAGCTTGAGA